CAAGGAGGAGGCCCCATTTCACTCCTCTTCTTTCCTCTAAAAGGTACAGATTAGGCAGGAAAGGATGCAGTAGGAAATGGAAGTCAAAATTTCACAGCAGGATAAGGAAGTTCCATTCTCCACCGACTTTCCTCTACCTCCTCTCTCAAGGGACAGACATCACAGGAAATTGAAGGCCTGAGGTTAAAGGGAGAGAGATTCTCCACATTGCAATTGGCATATTCAACAGATCATTTCAACTGGGAGCAAGAGGTGGGCACTGCCTTGTACTGGCACAGAACTAAGTCAGCCTGGTCCTGCCCCTTGTTGCCTTCCCTCAGGGGACACAGAGCAGGAAATGGAACAGCACTGCCAGAGCAAGGTCTGGCCACTCTTCTCACCTGAGACTATAGATCAGGTGCAATAAGAAATGGTGGACTCCCCAGTGTGGGAGGAAGCTGCTTCGGGGCAGACAGAAGTCTCCCCTCTGGGCACCTTGTCGATTCTGCCCAGGGGAATCTGCCATACAGCAGAAGAAGGGAGGACTGGCTTCTCTTCTCAAATAGAAATCCCATCCTCTGATGTCTGTTAGAGAGATGCTTCTTCATCTAATTGGGGAAATTGGGCAAAATGTATTGGCTGGATTCAGGGATGAAAACAAAGGAAAGGAAGAAGCAATTAAAACTACACTGGCATATAGGATAGTGGCCAGTTAACATGGCCATGAGACATCCCAGAGTATTTTGTTTTAAACTGCCTGACAGGGGTAGCTAGGTGGCGCAGTGGATAGAGCCCTGAAGTCAGGAGGACCTGAGTTCAAATCCGGCCTCAGACCAAACACTTGACACTTACTAGCTGTGTGACCCTGGGCAAGTCACTTAACCCCAACTGCCTTAAAAAAAAAATTTTTAACTGCCTGCCTAGTGCCAGAAGAGTAGCCTAGGACAGCAGAATAATGATCAAAAGCCTTTTGAAGGTGTTTATTGCTTTGTTCTCTTGGAATCCTACATAAAATATTAAATCAGATTCTATGAGAGAGGAGAAATAAATTTCTAATACACAAAAATCATAACAGAGAAAAAAGGTCTTAATTATTCATATAGCTATGTATAAATATGTGGAGGTGTGTGTATATATATTTTTTTCAATGAATCCATATTTCCCAGGGGAAGAATAACACTAGCAGGTACACAATTGTATGAAGCAAACATTTCCTCAAGATACAGGGGAAGCCATAGAAATCACAACTAGATTTTATTGAATAAACCCCAGCAGAAATAATGTAATGGGTCTTACAACAGGATTGCAACAGAGAGAGACTGGGATCCTGCTACGAATTCTTTCAGAAGGGAGGGCCAGTGACAAGAAGGCCAGTAGATTACTCAAACAAGGGTCTGAAAACAGTGAAACAGACAATAAACCTAAAAGGAGAGGCTGCTGAGCCAGAAAGGGGAGGGTGGCCAAAGACGGTTGAGGTGTGAAATTTATAAAGAAGGAATTAACTTGCCCTTAAAGGAAGAGCTCTTAGCACAGATGGATTTCAAGGGGTATGAGAACATGGATGTTTGGGGGAAAACATTACATTTTTTTTTTTTTGCTACCCTCAAACAAGAGTAGAGAATTTCCCATAATGATAAATGTTGGCAACAAACCACAGAAGTATTTAGCAGCAATCCCTGTAACTTTGTCACCAACAGAAATCACATTTATTTTCATATCACATTACTGTTATCACTGATATGTAATTATTAGATCTGCCACTACTGAAATGCTGAAAAGAAAGTATGATGGACACTATTACTTTTAATTACCATTACCAATCTAGATAGAGATTATTACTTTTAATATGGTTTTAATACATTTTCACTTGCACTAACCACATGACAAGACCCAAAAGCCACAGTGATTTTTGTGACCCCCCCCCAAAAAAAATCTTGCAGATGGCAATATATAGTCAGAAAATCTAAGAGAGCTTCACATCTATCCTAAAAACGAATCTAAAGATGTCCACTCTTTTCATTGGAAGACATGTCATTTAGAAAAAAAGTGGAACACTTTTAAAACTTGGATTTGTCATTTCACATAAACTTTTTCTTGAACATCCTATAAAGCTTCCCAGATTGTGCAAAAAAAAAAAAAAAAAAAAACCCA